TTAAAAACCAGTGGAAAAAACTACCTGAAATTAAATTTGTAGTTGTGGTACCATATTTAATAGTCTGAGCATTTAATTCACTCAAAGGAGTTACTGAAAAGGAGTACAGATGTAGTGATGAGAACTTCAGCTCTACTACCTCTGGGATTCCCAGTCTATTCCTTAAGCCACTGCCATGTGGTTTCTTACAGCCTTTGTCCTCTAGTTTTTTCAATAACTTCAGTCTATTTCTGCACAAAAGTGTAGCTTCTATAGGATGGAGAGAAAGGGCTGCTGCATGCTGTTAACACAAATCCAGTGGTTTGGGGTGAAACTGGGTATTTTTTGGAAGAACATACCCTAAGATATTTGCCACTATTATGGCCATATTATATATTTTATGAGCCTATAGCTCTAAGGACTCATCTTTTCCTCTCAACATACAATTATGGCAGGCTAAGCTGTCTACTCAGCTCCTTTTCTTCATAGCCTTCAAAACATTTCTTTTGATTTTCCTAAGAACTCTATTATGCAATTCAACTTTGTAGAAAAAATAATTATCCTTATATATAAGATAATAATTTCTTATATTATATTATAATATAATAATTAACCAATAATTTTGGTTTTCACTCATCTTATAAATTCATTAAGATTTGTACTTTATATTTCAAATTGTGTGAGAACCCCGGCCTTGCTGTGGGGTCTCATGTGGTGGTGAAATTCCTCCTCCAACCCATGCTTCCAAAGAAAAACTCCGCAGGCTTTAGCTGTTTGGTCTCAAGGCAGTTTATTGCTAGTTATCTAACAGATTATGTTCTTGGACTGCAGCTGTTTGATCAGCGGCCTGGGTAGAGGCACACACACACCCTGACATCCTCTCTATCTGCTGTCTTCTTCGTCTCTCTCCCCGCCCAGGGCTGCTATCTTTTATATTATATATTACGTATAATATGTTTACAATTATTCCCCAATACCTACTACCTATCTTACAAGGTGCTTTTCTACTCTAAACCAATTTGTGAGTGCCAACATCACCAAGAACATGGAGGTAAGGAAGAAGAAGGAGGAAGAACAGGATCAGCCCACTTTCCTCCATCTTAGAACTTCTGACCCCCATGTACAAAGTGAAAACCCCCCTGTACATGTGTTAAAACCCCCCTGTACAATACTAAAAAAAATTCCCTTCTACTTTGTAATTACTTATACTGTACTATCTAACCTTTTGTGACTGCTTGTTCCACCTCCAAAGTTGGTAATTCATTCCATGGCTCAAACTCAAAATCACAGCTGTTTTTCAGCTGTCTGCCAGGGTCTAGAATGCCTCTGACCAAGGCCTGGAACCTCTAAAAATGTCTGAAAGACATTTTGAGTTCCCACAAAATTGTACATTTTTTTCATTGACTATGCAAGATAATGACTGACAGTAAATGACAGACAATAAATAGGTAGACTGTGATCTAGGAAATTCTGGGATTTTTTTTTCCCAAATCTATCCTATGTATCTTATGATTTTGGATAAGATGATAAATAGATCATGGTAAAAATAGACCATGTAGGCATGGAAAGGAAGAAAGTAATAATTTTCTTGATCATAATAGTAGTGATATTAAAATATTCCAAAATGAGAGAATTCTTCCCATTATAATAAAACACCAAATGATAACCGAAGTTGCAAAAGAGCATGCAGGTTCATCAGCTGCTAGACACCTGAGCAACACAACTACAGAAAGATAGTTCTGACAGCTGGCTTACTTGTAATATGCTGGAAATGTTCAGATCTCTGTCTGATTTGCATTATAAACAAATCTAAAGGAATGAAAAAGATATGTGAAAATGAAATTCTGCATAGGAAGACTCATATCTGTCATCACTTGACTACACTGTGATACTTTGACTTCATATGTCTTAGTTGTGCTTGTAATGTCTGGTGTTTTATTTCATCAATGTTAATACCTGAGGATCCAGGCAGTGTAAACTGTTTACTAAAGCACAGTCTATTTTCTTGGCTTTACCTTTTTCTCCTTGGATAGTTCTGCACTAAATTATCAATTTTGCAATTGCTTCAGAACAGAACAGCTAGTGCTTTGTGCATGCAATGACAGATTGCCAGCATTCATGTAGCATCATCTAGGTATGTTATCCTAAAGGATGAATAGATGGAAGAAGTGAAGCTCAGCACATCTTCTGTGCTATGATGTTCCCTTGTCATGGGAAATCCTGACAACCTAATTGAAGGTCCTTAGATTCACTAAATGATCATTCTTTACTTACATCAGCTTTCCACTTTCTGAGTCGGTGTTTTGGTTGTCTGTATGAGGCTGTGCTGCTGAGATACATAGCTTAGCTCTGTCACTCTTTCAGGGGTAGTTGTGCATGTCTGCTAAGAGTACCAATTCCTGATCTTGTTGCAGCGTCTCTCCTTGCTCTACAAGTGCAGTCTGGCAGTCTAGTCCTCCTCTCTTGAACCTTAGGAAGGTGTTTATGTGATGCCTAAAACATTTAAAAAAATATCAAGCTTTAAAATATTCTACCATCCTTTCATTTCTTAGTTTCCTACTCCTTACTTGTACTCATTCTTATTTAACTCCCATGAAATCATACCTTATTTTGTTACAGATATAAGCCAGCACCAAAAACCAGGCCTGTGAAGAGGCCTTAGAAAGCTGATCATGATGGCCATGAGAATTTTGTTACTGATTTCATTACTTCCAGAACAGGCTTCTCATGTGTTTCATATTTGAAGCTTGAACCCAAATGTCTCAATTAAATAACAACACCTTTAAATATGTGCTTGTGTGTGCCAGTCTTGGTTCTTTCTGCTTTGAAAGGAAAGATTTGCCTTTCATGCTCTGGATACTGAATTATCTGTTATGGGTCTTTGAGCTATTTCTATTCACCAACATACATGATAAGGTAAAATGTCATGCAGATTAATATGATGACAGTATGAAGAAAATACCTTCTTTTACAGGAAACTGATTCCTTAGATGCTAATTAGAGGAAAATGGTACATAAGGGTACTGTAATACTGTTAGGCTAAAGAATCATAATTATCAGTCTAAAGGAATTAGATATTGATGCAACTGCCTGCCCAGCATCAAAGGCACCACCAAGTTTACCAAGCACAGAAGAGCTAATCAGAGAATGTGTAAAATAGCCGATGTGGACCTCAGGTCTGGTTCATCTATTCATCTGTTTCCAACAGGCCTGATAAAAAAAATTTAAAGTCTTGCAATAAAAAATAATCTATTCAAGTGTTTCATTATTTTTTATAATTATTTCTTTATGTCTAATCTAATAGTCCAGGCGTTGCATTATAAATTTATTAGTTCTTCTCCCACACATTATGAATTTGGAGAACTAATGATTGTCTTGCATTTCACAACAATCTTTCATCATTTTGAAGCCTGTCTCAGACTCTGAAGACTAAATGACAAACCCAGGTCCTTCCAACATTTCTCATAGGAGATTGTTTTTTGGTTCCTCTCTATTTTTGTTGTGTCTTTCTAAATATTCCAGTTGTCCTCATTGTTTTTTGTATCTGGCACCTAAAATCATACCCTACATGAATGTAGAAGGGATATTGTTTGCTGTGTTTACAGCCTGTACTGCTCTTTACAAAGCGTGTACTTTCCTTGTTCAGCATATTGTTGCTTCATGCTTAACTACAATTCACTATAATGTCTAAATTTTCTTTTAGCATAATCCAGTATGTATATGGGTAATTATTGCACCAGACTCTCTGCTCATCATTATCAAATTCAGATGACTGCACTCTAATACCATTCTCTGAAGTTGCATCAGTCTTTACAACCATCTCCAGACTTAATAGGGATATTCTCTATTCCATAATTTCATCATGTATATCCTACAACATTTACATATAAATACATGAATATTTATAAATATATGTATGCAAATATAGATTAATAAATATTCCTTTAGGCATGTCACAGTTGATTACTTGGGACATTGAAACTTCCTGTAAACTAGCCTGTATAAATTATGTAATAATGAGCTGGTCTTCACACAAAGGAGCCCAAAAGAACAATGGAAGCAGTGGGAAGCCAAATAACACCACGATTTAACTCCTTTGTGTCTATTAGAGGAGTCATCAAACTGTGAAACTCTCACCTCACAGCTATGAAGGAGTACTGAGGCTCCTGGACCTACCTCACTGGGTACAACCAACACCAGGAGTCAGAGAGGCTGGCTGGGTTGGCTGGCAGACTTGCCCACGGGTACAGGTTTTGCTGTGGAGTGCACGGCAGAGCATTTCTGTACTGCACAAGATTTTTTGTGGTGTTTAGGGGATCAAAGTCAGTGAAATGGGGATGGTTTGGGGAGGATCAATATGGAAAAATATAGACAAAAGAGTACCATTTTTAACCCTGTCCAAGCTGTGGGAGACAGTGTCAAGGATTTTACTGAAGTCCATGTAAATATCCACAATTTTTCTATCATCCACTAGGAAGGTTATCTGGTCATAAAATGATATCAGGTTGGTCAAACAGGACCTGCTGTTCTTAAACCTATGCTGGCTCAGCCTGACCCCCTGGTTGGCCATGTGATCACATTCAAGATAATCTGTTGTATAATGTTCCCCAGCACCAGGGCAGGCTCACAGGCGTGTAGCTCCCTGGATTCTCCTTCTGTCCCTGAATAATTCCGAGTTTACTGCAATAACACCCAAGCAAACTGCATTAGTCTAACTAATAGAGTTCAGAGACCTGTAGAACACCTTTTTGGAACAAAGAAAGATCCTGACACGTAAAGTATTCCAAGTCTACAGAGCAGGAGTATTTAAGAAGAAAGATAGTAATAGATAATTTTCATAGTGATTGAAGCTATCATCTAACTCACAAAGCAAATATATGTGTTCAAAGAGCTGTAGACTTGATGATTGCATGTTTTTAGCTGAAAGTGTTTAAAGATCTTTTGTGTGGTTTGTTAGATTTTTTTTAGCACTAGCCTATGTGAAGTAATATTCAATAAATATGAACAAAGGCTGGCTCATATTGATTTGTCATTGAAAATGTGTAATTTTCCAAGTTTTTTTCACTTACAATGTATGCAGATTTACTACCTATTCACAGAGTATATTATAATAATAACTATATACTAGAATATTAATCACATATTTCTTATCTAATTACATAGTTTCAAAGAAATGTGGCAATCAGTACTAACAAAGATTTACTCTACTAAAAAAATTAATTAAATACTGTCTTCAAATAATGCAATATCATTTGTACAATTTGACTGAATATCTAATTCAGAAAGATATACAGGGAATATTTATATAAAACTATTTTTATCCTGAAAAAGAAAATAGAAATAAGTAATAGGCACTCAGTTTAATAACAGAAATAAGCTTCATTAAAAACTTTTCACCTACAGAAGTACTGATTCCTCATTACTAGTAATTATAGGACAATTCAAAGTATATATGTTTTGGGTGTTTTTTTCCTTTTTTCATATGCAATCAATATTAATCATTTCCATGCAGAATGTAAAAGATCAAAATAGTTTATTGAAGGTTTTAATAATTTCTTGTCCAGAGAAGCACAGGTACAGACATAAGCCAAGCATGTTACCGCTTCCAGAAAGAAAATGAACATTCAGTTCCTCTACAACCAATTATTTCAAACTGAATTAATATACAATGCCCTAATGTTGGGAATTTTTAAAACCCATCAAACAATAGAACAGACGAGCAAAAGAAACATGAAGAATTTCTGGTGGCATTGTAACATTTAGATGTCACATGTATTTATTGACATGACACTGATGTCAGAGGACATGGCAAAGCTCTTACAGATCATGGTATAACCACTGCAACTCTTTCTGGTTGAACTTCGTGTCACTGTTTTCCTGCCTGAGTGTTCAGATCACTCCTGCTCCCTGTGGAGCGGTTTGCGCTCCGGAGGAAGCATCGGCTGTAACTTCTGCCAGCGTTGTGGAGGCCAGAGAATATGAGTGGCTCGGGCATGTAGAAGTCCAAGAGAAACCTACAACCAAAATATAAACCACAGGTGTTATTAGGTAATGCAAATAAATCAGTAGTGAAAAATACAAAGCATGTAATGATTTGTTGGAGCAGTGGGAGGATACAAAGCAGAAGAATAAATACTCTCTCATGCATGTAATGAGGGGGAAAGAAAATGTCTTTAGTAACAATGTCTTTTTCTTTTTTTGATAAACCATTTTTTGGAACTCAAGACGGTTTGCTGAAATGCACTGTCTGTAACACAGAACTAGGAATGTTGTTTTTTTTTTCAAGGAAAAAAAGCTGTTTAAAATAGGTGAGGCATAATCTACCTAAAGCTTTTTTGGTTATTAGTTATTCTAGATAGATCCAGAAAACAAAGTTTAAGTATCTATTTTGAATAAGTTCAACAGAATCTGTGTCTTGGATTTGAGCCCTGTGTACTAACCACACCAGGATAGTGGCTTTTTTAAACCTGCTATGTTTACTCTTTATCACTCTCCTTCAAAACACCATTTTGTCTTCAACCAAAAATGAAAATTCCTGTGAATTGTAAAGATTTCCCTGAGGATGCAAATGTATTTCTCTACAGACCAAAAACTTTTGAAGTGCTAAGACTATTTAAACCTGATTAATATGTTTTGCAAACATGTTTTACCATTTTATTATTTATTATTATTTACTTCAGTAATTTAACTTCAATAAATCAAAATAAAATTAAATTTTGATATTGCTTATAAATGAATCAGAGATAACATAGTATAGAAAACAGAATTGCTTAGAAAATCTTAAGTAAATTATAAAAAAGACCCTTTTCATATATGGTATGAAAATGGCTAGACTAAGAGTAAGAATATAACAGTTACAATTTCAGACTGAGATAAGACAGTCCATACTTAAGTCATTTTGTATGGAGTTCATCTCAGTTAATTTGAAAAGCCTGCAGCATAAGTTATTTGTTTAGACTTGTAGAGAAAATAGCACATAATAAGCATCCAGCACCAACAGAAGTTATAAACAGGACACAGTCATGGTTAGAAATACTGGAATGTCTGTGTCTGTGAAGAGATTGAATAATTCAGACTCCTAAACAGAAAACAGTGTTATAATGGTTATAATGGCAACAGAATTAGCAATGGCATGGATTAAAAAATGCAGAGGCTTTATTTCACTCTTATGTAATTATTTCTCATAAGAACAAGGAAACATTTATGATATTATCCTAAAGAATTTTTTAAGATACAAAGGAAATGCTTTTCAGTATGTGCAGCATTACATCATACTTGCATACATTATACAGGATACAGAAGTCACCAGAAGAAAAATAGAAAACTTGTTAAAAAAATAACAATGGGAGCGAAGTCCAACACAGGTAATTGATCATAAACAAACAGTGTAGTCTCTATACTCCATACTAGGAACCACCGAAGGAAAAATGTATACTTGCTTTATTCTTATATTTCAATGACCTGGTACCAGCTGTTGTAAGAGCCAGGAATGAAATGGATTTTGAACTTGTACTTTGCAGCTTGAATTCTTATGTAAACTCAGTTGCATTCCATTTCTCATTAAAAAAAAAAAAAAGTGATTTTAGTAAGCAGGTAATTCAGCATTTCATGCAAACAGACACCAAATAGGCCCCTAGGAATATCTTCAGCTAATTTTCTTGATTTAATTTCATAGGATTAATATATATGCACCAGTCTCTCTACTACATAATCAAATCAGTGAAGCTGAAGTGGTATATATCTAATTCCATATTCTGTAGCTTGATGAAGCAGGTGCTGAATTACTTGAATATAATTTGGTTATTTAATAACCCATGATATCTAAAAGAATCTGAAGTGGATCACTGAATTAAAGTCTAGCATTATATTTCACTTGCTTGATCCCTTGCAGGGACCACTTTTTTTCCCAGATCCGTAGCAGCTGTTTTTCCTACATTTAAGCAAAGGACATGCTTCTAAGTGACAACTCTTTTTCAATAGCATTGAGCAACAATTTTTAATGTCTTGACACACTTTTTTGCAGTTTGGTTGATATTTATGGAATTCACAACATCCTTTATCTTAATTAGCCCATAAAGTGGGCTTCAAATGTAATATTACCATGTTGGATTTTTTTCCCTGAGCATACAGCATGATAGCACACACATTACAGGCTGCTGCCAAAATATAAAACCACAGCAAATCTCACAGCTGCATATAAAATGTGACAGCATTAGTACAGAGAAAAAAATGTTAGAATACTCTTTCCAAACACAAATAACATCTCATTTTCAAAGCTCTGTGTTTTTCTCAGTACATTGCTTGTTACTGATGTCAGCAGGAGGTCTGCAAACAGACTGAGAATACAATAAATGAATCAAAACATGTTTTAAGCTGAAGCTGGGAATAATTTTACCCAGAGGATTATTTCCACTGACCATCATCTGCCTTGAAACTAATAAAGAAGTCTTCTTCCTATAAACATGATTTACAACATGACTAGAGTTAAAAAGGAAAAACAGATATTGTTGGGTGATGGAAGCCTTTTCTAAATAACAAATTACACTGATACTATAGGACTTCTTTCATAATAACTTAAAGGTTCACTTTAAAAGCACCTTGATGTTTGACTTCTGCAAACAACCATAATAACTTTTTTCCATTGCCTATTATTATTCTGTACTTACCACAGCAGCCATGAATTTCACTGAGGAAGAACAGAATTGTTCGCAGAGAATAACCTGCCCTTGCTAATGGATTTACCCTTATCAAGGTTAGATATGAATGAACTCAGAAGAGTGAACTAAAAGGCTACACCTTCTGTTGTAACAGTGAAATACTGAAATAATATATTAATTAATCACTTCACTTTATTTTCTCCCTTTACATAAGAAAATAAGTGTATTCCCTTGAAACACTCTCTTAACTATAAGAAAAATCGGTACTTTACTGACATAAATTCTTTGAGGAATGTGTTTCCTTTCCAAGAAGATTCCAGAGATACCAGCAATTAAATAGCTGGGAGTTATTTCTACATTATGACCTATTTGTTATTCTTGCTGTGGCAACAACAGACACTATATTGAATTGAATCCATATTATTGCACCTAAGCTGAGCTGTTTAAACTTTTTTAAAATCTTTGAATATTAAGTTGAACAACTAAGAAGTCACTTCATTAACACAGTAATTTTATCTGCAAAGTAAGTTTTGAATTAATAATACTGTTTTGACACTGTTACTGTGCTAAAAGCATATTTCCTCAGTGGCTGGTTGTTGTTAGTATGTTAGCTATATGGAAACTGATTAGTTTTGGCACTGCATAAGGAAAAGATAAGCCTAAGACTGATAGTGCTATCTGCAGTGGTACTTAGAACAATCTTGCTCATTTTGTCCTAATAGACTTGGATAAACCACCTTTATTAGTATGAAGTCTTACAATAATATTACATCCTCTGGTTCTAAAATACATCATGAAAGTGGGAAAAGTAGTATTCAGACTGTACAAGAGTTTATTCATGTTAGCATACAGGAGCACATCAAAATTTCTGTGGAAATGACAGGTACTCAGTTTAGATCTCAAGAAAAGGGAAAGTCCAAATAACGGTGTGGTTCTGTGCGCTAGTTTTGGCAGGGGTAGAGTTAATTCTCTTCAGCTTGGCTGATATTAGACTGTGTTTTGGACTTGTGCTAAACACAGGATTGATAAGAGATGTTTTTGTTACTGCTGAGCAGGATTTACACAGACTCAAGGCTTTTCCTGCTTTTTGTACTGCCACTGCTACTGACAAGGAGACTGGAGATGCCTGAGATATTGGAAGGAGACACAGCCAGGACAGATCCCTCTCCTGACCAAAGGTATATTCCAGACTGTATGACACCATGCTCAGTATGTAAAGCTGGAAAAAGTAGGAAGAAGGGAAGGTTTGGAATGATGGTGTTTGAGTTTCCAAGTCACCATTACATGTGATGGGGCCCTGCTCTCCCTGAGATGGAAGAGGAAAGCAGTGAATTATTTCCTTGTTTTTCTTTGCTTGTGTAGTAGAAGCATGGCTTTTGCTTCTACTATTAAAGTGTCTTTATCTCAATTCACAACGTTTCTGGCTTTTGCCATTGCAAGTGTGTCCCAGATTCTGCTGATGGGGGAGTGGACAAGCAATTGTGTGCAGCTGAGTTGCTGGCTGGCATGAAATTACCACACCCTAAGGGTATTCTGAACTTTTCCAGAGAATGTAAAGTCTACCCAAACAGCTAAATTCACATGTAACTCCCAGTCATGAGTTCACTTTGGTTTAGGAACATTCCCCATAGATTTTTCTCTTGCTTTTTTCCTTAAGCCTTTTTTATTTTGTTGCACCTTAAACAGCCAAGATTTCAAATTTTGTAACAAGTCTGAAACAACTAAGAATACCATTAAATATACCCTGAGAAAAAGCATTGCAGAATCAAAAAATCCAAACCTTTAAAACTTTAGAAAAAAAAATAGACTTACTAATTTGTCAGTTTTCTATTTGGAAGTAATAACCACAGAATCATAGAACTTGAGATGACTTAGACTGACTAAGACCTCTAAGATGATTGACTCCAACTATTAAGTCACTGTTCACCACTGAACCATATCCCCACATGTCACATGCATATGTATTTTGAATTAACTGCCAGACATATAATAGGAGACAAAAAAAAAAAAAAAAAAAAAAAAAAAAAAAAAAAAAAAAAACAAGGATGTTACTACAGCTGTATCATAACCCTGCAATTTGGTATAGCCACTGCCAGTAACAACCTGTGGGCATTGTATTGGCTCTGCAAAGCCTCAAAATTAATTTCTCAGGATTTGTCTGAGCTTACCTCTCCTGCCTGGAGTTTTGATTCAGCTTGTTAGCTGCAACAAATTTTCTAATCATCAGGTGACTATGGACTGATTTGTTACAGTTTTGCTTATACCACTTATATTTGCATAATTTTGTGGTGTTTTTACATATACATTAAAAAGTAAATATTCTGCATAGGATGAAATATTTGTGATTTGCAAATAAC